CCGTCGCCGTCGTGGTTGCGTAAGGTCCCTAATAACTGGTAAGGACGTGGAGTGTAGCTTCACTAGGTCCATGTTTGGTCCACTATGTCTAAAAAAAAACACAAAGTAAGCAGTTTATTTTAAATAAAAAATTGTCAATGAGATTTAGTAAATACTCAAAATTTATCTTGAGTATTTATTTTGCCCTCTTCTAAATCATGAAGGAAAACTAAACTTACTGCCTTCCTTATGACAAAAAAGTCACCACGAAAACAATTCACGACCATCAAAAAGAGCTTGTTTTCCGTCGGAAAACAAGGAGTCTGGAATCGACTTTCTTTGTCTCGTCTCGTGCATGCTGCGTCATAAACCATGACTGTGACGTCAAACCATCACTTCGCTCTGTTTGTCGGATCGAAGCCGTGCGTTTTTTTTCGTGAGAGGAAAATAGCGTAGAAACGATGAGAATGATTGTGATTTTAATCACTACGTTGGCAATTGTGCTTCAATTAACAGCGGTTACACAAGCGGTGAAACAAGAAGGTAAGTTTCACCTCTGTTTTGAAAATCTTTCAAAGGTCTCCAAGAGTTTTACTTTTACCCCGCACTTGACCATTCGGGCCAGGAAATGCATGAAACGATCTTTGCCTTCTTATCGAGCCGAAAACCTTTCTCGAGGACTTGCGGCTCACCAGGTTTCGTTTGCTAAAAGTGAAACTGTTCAAAACTCTTTTTAATCAAAATGAGTGCTTTGCGGACGGGCCATTTTACAAATTTTTCACACTTTCTCGGAAGAATAAACAAGTTTCGGGTTGCCATGGTTGCCTTCGTTACTTTTAGGCGCGTTTGAACCGCCCGTGCGCCCCGTGCAGGGCGCGCTTATTTTACCCTTTTTATTTTAAAGCGCGCGCTTCAACGGTTACTTTTTGCTTACTTGTACACTGTTTTTTTTCCACCCTACACTTTCATTGTAGATCGTATCAACGAAAAGTTCATATTCATAGATGTATATATAATAGGTGCGACTGAAATAAATAGTTACAAAGTAATGATGATACCAATGGTTACTACTTTGTTTACACCAGACCATTTTCAAGGCATTGAATGGCAAAAACTACCTTTCGAATATATCAACGAAGACAAGACCGTCCTCGGAACTTGGAACGAAAAGGTTGGTCAGTATTTTCAGAACATCAAATGTAATGACTGAGTTCATTGTTCGTGGAAAGCCGAGGTAGTTTTTCATGCGTGAGTTTACAAAAATGGAAAGTGAACTAGCCTAGTTCACTTTTCATTTCTGTAAACTTACACATGTGAACCTTCAACTGTTCGAAAAAAGTATTACATAGATCATCGCCGTTTTTGTACCAGCTAACGATCCGGCAAAATCCATAATGACAACCAATATTGTGGCTGAAAAGCCCCTAAGGGGGAGCTTCAATTTACATATTTATTTATTATTTATTAATTTATTTGTTACGTGTCTCTCTTCTCCTCCTCACAGGAATATGTGATAAGGATTCAAATATCGTCGCTGGAGCTGGATATGAAACTAGTTTTCCCCAAAAGCTCCAAAGATTTTAACGGTCCACCTTTTGGGAATGATCCACCGAACCTTGGAAAGGTATTTAACATGGCGATCACCCAGATTTCTTTCGCAATTCAATTTTTCATCAGCAGACGCGGCCTCCTTCAACCGCGTTCTCAGGGCCTTTTCCCTTACCTGGGGGTAGGGTAACGGAAAAAGCCCCGGGAACGAGGTTGGGCCTCCATCTGATTTTTTAGTCATGGATACGTGGAGGGCGGAGCGACTATTGTTTATTTTGATTTTTTCGTCAAAGAAGAGCAAGAAGATTTACAGACGAAAAACAAACGCAATTCTTACACAACGAAATACATTTATGAAAGTTCTAAGAAACAAATTTAAGTTTAGTTTTTAACTTAAAACTGTATGGTGGCCATAAAAGTTTCGCCCTTTTTTATCTCTTAGATCCTTAAGTGCAAAGAGTTACCGGAATATCCTGTGAACATGACATGTTCTAAGTACCAGGTCTACAAACAGAAAGAACCAGGGTTTATAACGCAGGTGGTAACCATGACGGTGAAAAACGCGTGGAGCCCTATGCTGACAACGATGGTAAAAGCTTGGAAGACCTGCTTCAACGGCATTGGAACAATGGTTAATAAGACTTGGAACGGACTAAAAAGGATAGCAGATTTGGATGGTGAAATGTTAAAAGGAATAGTGAATTGGTTCGGTATTATTTGGAAAGGATTGATGGATTGCATCGGTAAAATTTGGAACGGACTGAGAGGGTTGGCGGAATGGATTTTTATAACGGTGATGTGGGCGGATGAATGTGTGTACAAAGGAAGTTTGTGGGCGGTCGAGTGGTACTGGGACAGTACTGAATGGTTGACGGAGTTGGCTTGGAACGGAATGGAATGGGTAAGAGATCAGACTGATTGGTTGGCCGGCGTCGCAAAGGAAAATGCATCATGGTTAGCTAAGAAAGCATGGATTGGATTGAAACGGTGGGCCGAGTGGGCATGGGGGGAGGCGAAACGGTTAGCGGACTGGTTATGGACAGAGATTAAAAGGAACTGTAAACCGTTTGAACCTGGGTTCGAGTGTGCTTTGGAGACAGTTGAATTTCTCATCAAATTTTACAAAGAATTTGTTCACGGTAAGGAAAAAGTCCCATAAGGAACTTTGTGAATAACTTCCGAAAAGGTTGACCAAATCAAGTTTAGATTTTCTGTAAAGTTATTTTTCTATTTTTTTTTTCCAACAGAACATCTATTGAAAATTCAAGTCAAAATTATTATCTCGAGCTGGCGTGAAACTGGTTATACGATATTAGCCGTATTGGTAATGAACTGTGTGGCGGTGGCTGTTTACAAGTTGATTTAGGGGCCCGTGAAGTTGATCTCGCGAAGATGGTGAGTGAGAAGAACAAAACAATCAACAAAATTTGGCTTAACTTAAGTCTATTATAACACACATAAATCGTTATCGTGTCCGGCTCTCTCAATAGACCGTTCCTTCTATTTTTTAAACCAAATGGGTCTTTTTAAGTCGAGTTTCGACAAATTAAACTTTTCTCGTGCTGAGTTTTAAAATAGAAATTTCGAAATCAATTGTAAGTTTCACAGGTGCAATTTCTTCCCACTGCTCTTTCAACTGACACCTTATTTTCTTTTAAATGACCTTTTCTAAAAACATTCTTTTGTCATTGTGAAGAAACCTGTTAAGTTCATTCAATTTCTCCTTCCAGGCAAGCTTACAAAGAATGGAAAGAAGCTGAAGAAGCTTCCTGGAGATTGCCACCAAGGCGTCAGTCTCAATCAAACAAACGAGTCTGGGAAAATCCCAAGAAGAAAAAGCTTTACAGGCATAAAAACTAAAAGATTCCATATGATTTCATCTTTTCTGTGTGATATGAACTATTTTTGAGGATATGTTTTGTGAAAACATGTCATTTTTATTAAAATGTATTTATTGAAACCTGAAGTTGGTGGCTGTCTATTTAACAAATCGGCTACAATTTCCATTGTCTATAACACTTTGAAGCTTCGATTAATTCGAAGCGTCAACAACCCCTTCCCCGGGCATATGACGTTTGAACATAGGCTCGTCGCAAATTCCCGCCCCCCCCCGGGTTCAAATGCTTCACCCAAGTGCTGGATTTGATCGTCGATTTTCTTGTAAAAGGCAAGATAAACAACCTTGACTTTCTTGTAGAACTTCCTCTCCAAGCCCTCTTCTCGCGAAAGTGAACTTTTCACCTTTAAACACCTCCATATGAAAAGAGAAAACACGTTACTGCTGGAAAGACTTGGCAGTTCCGGTTCAAACTCCCTATCTTACCCAGGCAAGGTTCAAATTCCCCACCCCCTGGGCACGAACGACAGTCAAATTCTTGTGGGTTGCTGGGGAAGGGGGATGTTGAAACTTCTAACCTTATTGATCATAGAAATCACATCAACAATACAATTTACAGTAAGGACCGAAAAGATATTTATCATCTTTTTTCTCTGTCAGTTCTTCAATTTTCTGTTATCATGCTGAACAACTGTCTGTTTAGGTGCAAGTTTGCCAGTTTTCTTTTTTTTTTTATTTTTTTTATTAACAGCTATTTAATGATGTTTATAAACAGAAATGGCAATCTAACGCTATTTGAAATCTCACCCCAGCCCACTATTTCAGTCTTGGTAACGCGACGAGGACCATTAAGAAGACACAAACTGAATACATCTCATATAACAGCCAGTCACAGACTTGGAAACTTTCCTTTTTCAGTTGATCATGAATTGTGCTCAATAATATTATGAATCTGCTTAACGTGGACTCAAAGTTAACATGTCGCATACTGCAGCCAGAATTTGACCAAACAACCAAACAGAATTGATCAACAGTGCGACAAAAGAAAGATGAGCAGTGAAGAGGTTGGCAATTATTTCCAGCGTCTCGGACAACTCGTGGCGGAAAGACGCACTAGAAGCAAGCTTGGTACAGGATATCAGTATGGCTGCGACAAGAACAACTGCTGCCAAAGAGAGGAGAAAGTGACTGTTGATAAGTTGTACGCCTTGCGTGCCTATGTGACCTGCGGTGCCGAAAGTGACTGTAGTAACCACCTGGTCAACGCAAGTTTGGTATGCGTGTGTAACTACATCAAGGCACGTGAAGTTGGAAGCCATCTTGCGTTTCCTACACGAAGAAACTGAAAACAAACGTGGTCTCGTTAGTTCAGTGCGATTTCAACTGGACGCATTTTGGGTGCATTTGGCCGTGTATTAAGGCCGCCGAAAGTATTCTGTGACCCGATGATTAGGAATATTAGCGTGCTGGTTTTTGTCGAAAAACCAACTGAGATAAAACCAATCCAGCAAGGACGAAAATCAACATGCAATTCAACGCTTGAAGCGATGCCGGCCAGGTGCGGATTTAACCCACTTAAAAGCCATGAAGACAGTACGCCATTCTTCATCCTTAATCTCTCCTATTTTTTAATCTGGCGACAGAGAAGGCGAAAAGTCTGAAGCATTCAGGTTCAATTTCCTTTGCAAGTTTTTCCTTATTAAGGAGCGGTCTCCAGCTCCTCCATTTCATCGGAAAGGGATTAGAAGAAGTCTCTGGTAAATGGCGAAAAATTAGAAAGAGAAATTTGTCGCAATATCCTTTGATTTAGGGCTTTCGTTTAAGAATGAACAGGGGTGATTAGGTTAGATCGACCCCCAATCCCACATTTCCGTAAAAATGATTCAACTGATTAATTCAAGCCGAACCTTGATAACGGCGCGCGTGCTAAACCGGGGCACACTTCGTTTTCTCTTACCTGTATGAATATCCTCGGGATAGAGTACTGTATGTAGCGATGCTGATAGAAGACGATTGAAACTGAGTTGTTTTGATACGGTGACATGCCACTAAACCATTTACTGAACCACCCGCTTGTAAATGAACATCAGAGTAGTTCGCCAGGGAACTGTCATTCATTTTGCCAAATTGCCAACTACTGTTAGTCTTTTTAGAAAAAAATATTGACTCAGCAAAAGCCTTCAAACGAAATTTAGCATCGATCGAAAAGAAGGCGAGGGTTTTCGTTCCTACACTAGGCAACAACTGGCCATGCTATTAAGAAAATTTTGAACAGGCGATTTGCAATCCACAGGGCATACCACAGTGAAAATATTAATCCCACCCACTATGGAGGGGTGGGGAGTGCTGGCCTTATTCCCAGTAAATAGGGCTACTGAAGAGGTGAAAGCTGGTCGCATGGACTTTCTATCGCACTCTCCCCTTTTTAGCCGAACTGTACATCAATAGGGATCATAACCTTGCTTTATTCATTATTTTTGGACACCGAATTCTAAAGAGACAGATACTGATATCACACATGTTTGACCAAATATAACTCATTTATTTGCTCTACACGGTAACTAATATGACAAAAAATTGGCAGAAGTGTTGGAGTTTCTAGTATGGACAAATAGGGCTCTTGGAATTTAACCAGGAGAGTACAATTTTGTTGTATTTTTACAACAACAGCTGCATTTTGAAGGAAAAAAAACCTGAGTTAAAGGGGGGAGGGGGAGAGAGAGAGAGAGAGAGAGGAGA